TGTATGTTTGTGTACCATGTGCATGCTTCATGCCCACAGAAGTCAGAAGTGGGCACTGGATCCCCTAGAATTGGAGTTAAGGATGCTGGTTGCAAGAGCAAGCAAGGCTCTTAACTACTTTAGCCCACTGAGGAGAACTGTTTAAACACTAGGAACTAACTTTTACTTCTTGATCTGAGTAGTGATGACACGAACATGTCTCTGTGAAAATTCACAGAGCTGTATATAATAACCTGGTACTTTTCTACATTTACTTCCAATATAAAGTTTCATTATTGGAAACCAGAAGTTCTGGGGAATGAAATCCCTTATGTGGCAGCTGACCAGTACAAAGGCACTCTTCTACAAGAACAATGGAGGGAGGACACACACAGTATCAGACCACTAGCCTTGGTGTGCAACAATGCAATGTACTGGGAAGGAAGCGGTTGTATACTTGACTTGGAGAAATCTTCAGTTTTAGAAAGCTGCATCAATCTGGATTTCTGCAAATCTTCAATGCATTTCAATAATGTATAAATATTCTACTGCCATATTTTTAGTTTTAGTTTAGCTCTGTTCTCAATTCTTGTCTTCCTACCCAGTTTTTGTTTAAAGTTTTTTCCTAGTGTAGTTTACCATATCTTTTATGTATTTATAACAAAACCTGAAACAACTAATAAAGGAAGTTTGGTTTCCTTAAACAACTAATAAAGGAAGTTTGGTTTCCTTAAGAGTGTAGATTGCAGCCAGGCAGTGGTGGCACACGCCTTTAATCCCAGCACTTGGAAGGTAGAGGCAGGCGGATCTCTGGGAGTTCCAGGCCAGCCCGGTCTACAGAGCGAGATCCAGGACAGGCACCAAAGCTACAGAGAGAAAAAAAACAAAACAAAACAAAACAAAAAAAGAGTGTAGAGTGCTCTAACTCAATCTCCTTGACTAATCAGTTTCTTGCTAATTTTGTTTTTAACTCCATTACATAGGAGAAAAAAATGTTTGAATAATAGTCACTAACTAGTCTCTGTAAGAACCGTATGAGTAGGCTGGACCTGGTGGTGCACAACTTTAATCCCAGCACTCAGGAGGCAGAGGCAGGCAGATCTCTGAGTTTGAGGCCAGCCTGATCTATCTACAAAGCAAGTTCCACTAGAGCCAGGGCTACACAGAGAAACCTTGTCTTGCAAAACAAAACAAAACGTAAGAATGTATGGGTAAAAGAAGTAGATGGGCAGAAATGGAAATGAAACAAACTAGCTTTAGGGGAAGATAGCATAAGCAGAATTCAATTTTAGGGCTAAAAACCTCAACCACATCAAAGTTGCAGCATGTTGATATATGCCTATGACCTTGGCACTCAGGAAGCTGATGCAGGAGGAGCAAGAGTTTGCAACTACTATGGGCTACATAATAAATTCCACATCAGCCTGAGCTAAGTAGCAAGACTCTGCATCTGTCTCAAGAGATGAAACCACATCAAACGAATCAAAAAAAGAAATCATGTTGCAGTTGATAAAGCTGAACATATGTAGAGTAACACAAGCAAAACTGACCAAGAGTTCAGCAGACTAAAATGGTTGCTCAAACCCAACTACATCAAATGCAAAAAGAGTTAAGTGTAAAGCCTTCAAAAAACAAAACAACTACACACGTTCAGGATGAGACAGACCCAGCTTAATACAAATGTAAAGACCTGGCAAGCAAAAAACCCATGTTTAGTTTAAAGCAAGTCAATACAATTGAGTAACCAAAAACCGGTCAAACAAACCAACACAACAAAACTACATTAAAATAAGTAAGTAGGGGCTAAAGAGATGGCTTCGTGGTTAAGAGCACTTGCTGCTCTGGTTAGAGGAACAGAGTCTGATTCTTAGCACCCATGTCAGGTGACTAACAGCCACGTATAACTAACTCCAGCTTCAGGGGATCTAATGCCTTCTTCTGGCATCCTTGGGCACCTGTATGCACGTTAATGTGCATATAAATCTAAATAAAATAAATATGTAAGTATAAATAAATCTTTAAAAAAATGTATGTTCATAATATGTAGAATTACGTTGTAAATAGGCCCATGATCCTTCAGGCCCTAAGTAAGTGTTCATTCTGAAGGAGTCTAACATATCACTGGCCCTTAAAAAAAAACCACCAGGAAAAACCTAAAACCAAAACCAGTGATTGTGGAAATAATTTGAGTTTATATGTCTGGAAGAACAGAACAGGTAAGCTAAGGCAGTCAGACATAAGACAAGTTTTTAATCTGTAGTAACGCATAGAAAAAGAATAAAATAATCCATTCTGTGTTGCTCCACAGAGGCAGATCTGGAACCAGCAGGTAGATATTATGGAAACACATTTAGATTTAATGGTTAAAAACCTTTCTAAATTACTCCCTATGTTTTATAAGCCAATGTTCCTTTACTAACATGCCAATATTAAAGCACAGCTCATCAACTTCTTGCCATAAAAAAATACAACGGACTTAAAAGTGGATCAGAAGGCTACAGACTCTAATTTCATCTCAATTAGAATAATTCCCTGGGGCAACACATTTATTTTTTTAATATTTGCATAGATCTTATCATTTATTTGTGCTGTGTATGCATGTGCAGGTACATGCAGTCACAGAATGCACATGGAGGTCAAGGTCAACCTGTGGGAATCAATTCTTTCCTATATTGCATAGGTTCTGGGGATGAAACTCTGGTCATCATGCTTGGTGGCAAGTACATTATCACTGAACATCTCACCAATACTGGTAATTCACCTATAATTACCCCAAATCTCAGCATTTTTTTTTTACCTATTTACAGTCATGAAATCACTGAGATGATTTATATAATAAAGGTGATATATACAAGACCTATCACAACAAGCTAAATTATAACATGAACATGAGTTGCCCGAGAGGGACTACAACAGATAATTCCTAAAATTCTTCCAGCACTAAGATTATTAATTGTATCTTTGAAGTAAGAAAAAACTTAAAATAGGTCCTATTTGGTAGGCAAAGAAAGAAAACATGAGAGAAATCATGGGAGCTGGAAATACATTTTATGAGGTGGTGAGAGTACACTTTTTCTGATAACAAGTTGCTAAAAGGCCATGCTCAATCCAGGAGACAGACATTGAGTTCAAATCAACAAGACGAGCTATACTGCAAATAAATGTAGTCATGAACAGCATGAGTCTGACTGGCGGCATTCAGCACAGTGCTTAAAGAGGGGTTTGCTTTGGGTAGTGACTTAGCTCTATTCTTCCAGTCCTGCAATTCTGACTTGGCAAGTTAGCTATCTGCTCAGCTCCAGGTTGTAGAGGGGGACGTGAAAAAACTCATCTAGCTTCACAAGTTATTCACAAGACTCCCTGAGATAAAAATGGATACAAATTTTCTAATATGGCTTCATAGCACATCGAGGAATTCATATTTATTACACTTAACTTCTTCTCAGCTTCAATTTTGGATGGAGTTTTGTTCATATTAGTTTCAGAATTGTAAATTGAGGAACAAACTAAAAAAGACATATTTTTGTTTTCTTTTGAGACAGGGTCTTATGTGGCCCAAGCTGTCTTCAAACATACTCTGCAGACAAGGACTAGCTTGAACATCTTACCCTCCTACCTCCACTTCTCAAATGCTGGGATAACAAGCAGTACCACCATACTTAGTTAATGTGCTGCTGGGGGTCAAACCCAGGGCTTTGAAAAGGTCAGGCAAGCGTTCCACCAACGGAGCTACAGACCCAGACCACATATTTTTGTTTTTAAATACTAAAGTAAGGCTGAAATTTAAAATGACCTTAATCTACTGATATCAAAACCAAGAACTAAGTAATATACAGATAAGTAGCAAAAAGCAAATTATAAAATATTCAGTATCATCTTGTATTTATGATATTTTAAATCGCCCAGTAATAGAATTAAATTATATACATTTTTCTACATGCTATGAATTTGGTTTAAGGAGTATGATATGCATTTCTTATATAATTTCTGAATGCGGAAAAAACAAACCTGATTAAAATATCGGCCAGCTGGATGTGGAGGTACACACCTTTAATTCCAGAACTTGGGAAGCAGAGGCAGGTAGATTTGAGTTTAAAGTCAGATTGCTCAACATAGCAAGTTCCAGGCCAGTCAGGGTTAATCTTGTCTCAAAAAACTTTTTCATAGAAAACTTGCCATACATGTCACTTTGGGAGAAAACTAGATTCTCCTAAGCTTGGAAACATGAATTGAACATGTTTGTTTTGAGAAAGACTTGATAATGTAGACCAAGCTTGCCTCACTATGTGGCCCGGACAAATAATCCCCTACCTCAGCTACTTTTTTAAAAATTACATTCTGTATGTATGTGAGTGCTCCTATGCCTCGGCCCATATGAGGACAACTCGCAGGAGTCAGTTCTCTCTATCCACTACGTGGATCTCAGAGACAGAACTCTGGCCATTAGGAGCAGGAACCTTTACAAAGCTCATGGCTTAGTCTCTTGAATACTAGGGTTACAGGCATACACCACCATGCCCTGCTGAATTTAATGCTTTTTAAGGAAAACTAAACAACTACTAATTTTTTTTTTCTTTTTAACTATATATGTGATCTAAAGAAAAGACAGACATCTCCCAAACTAAGGAAAATATAAGGTACTATGGTTGGGGGTGGTGGTGGTGGCAGGGATTCTGTAACTTTTGTCCTGCTCCAAGTACTGGGATTATAGAGTGTGCCACTATACCTAGCTTAAAATACTATTTATAAAGCTGAAAGTCATTAAGAAGTGATCAGCATTACTCTAAAATATCTTCATTCTAGACTGTTCTAGCCACAGATAAGATAAATAGTAGTTACACATCAAAAAACAGGGACATACAACCTAAGTTACATCAGGTTGAAGTAGCAAATAATACATTTTTAACTGTAAGCCACAAGTGTATATAAAAATACAAAGGAAAGACAAAAATTGTATAGATTAGTCTTTTGATTCCATTACAGCTTATGTAACATTAGCCAAAATAAGAAAGCTGACTTACCTGGGACCTCTTGGACCTTCCAAGAAATTGCTTCTAGGAGAATCTGGAGGCGGTCCAGCTGACCTCACTGGCATATCCTTAGTTGTAGTGACAGACTGGGATGGAGCAGCTGAAGGGTCGCCAAGTCCTTGCTCGGATGAGAATGAACTGAATGCCAGAGTAGCCTTGTTCAGAGGTTTGGAATTCACTTGTTCTGACTGAGGTGGAGGGTGAAAGGTTGAAGGTGGATTTGAACCAAAAGACATAGGTGAGGGATGCAGTGCTTGTAGAGACTTCTCTGGGATCTGTGAGTTTTGGGAACTGGAGGCTGGTGGAACTGGGATTGCTGTTAACTGAGGAGGCATCCCTTGTGGAACTCCAGGGGGAGGTATTCCTGGAGGAGGTGTGGCTGAGGATAACGGTGGCAGGGGCAGGACAGGCGGAGGTGCCCCAGAAGAGAGAGATGGTGGGGGGAGGACCGGTGGGGGCCCTGCAGAAGAGAGGGAAGGTGGGGGGAGGACCGGTGGGGGCCCCGCGGAAGAAAGAGACGGAGGCATGCCCGGTGGGGGCACAGAGGTTGGGAGAGAAGGTGGCATCACAGGTGGGGGCATGCCAGGTGGTGGTACGGAGGTCGGTAAAGCAGGGGGCATCACTGGGGGGGGCAATGATGGAGGTAATACTGGAGGGGGCATTGTTGGTAGAGGTGGAGGCATCTGGGAATACGGGACAAACGGAGGTGGCATTGACATGTTCCCCATATACTGGTTCTTCACATTCTGAAATGAATTGACTTTCTCCTGGAGATAGGTCTGAGTGGCTTTCATGTGTCCTTGCCATGTTTTCCACTGCTTCTCATACTCCTGAAGCTGATCTTTATGAGGATAGGAATGGAGCTGTTCCTCCCACAGCTGAAACTCTCGCTCCCATTCTTGGTAGAGATGTTGAAACTGTTGCTGCTGCATCTCATAATGTCGCAATTGCACATCTAGAGACATGGTCTACAAATAAGGGACAAAAATTCTTTCAAGACAGCCATGTGACAATCAGTTTCAACAATATTAACGAACCAAGAGTACATGAAGTTTAAGGAAATTAGAAACATTTCCAAAGGGGAAGATAAAATAGCTAGATCTTTTCAGCAATGATTGTTCTTCTTCCTTTGGGCTATTTAAATAATATCACACAACTGGAAAACTCAACCAAACCTTCAGGCAAATAGCTATCTCAGAAATGAGTATTCTTCAAGATTTTAGTGTTCCTAAGGACTAAGGATCATTTTAAAGATTTGAAAATTTAAAAAAAAAAAAAAAAAAGAAATGAAAATCCCTTACTATAACACAGACACAAGATTATACCTCAAATGTATAAGACAAATACCTAAGTCACTTTTTCACTTATGGTATATTGCTTAGGTGTGTGTGTGTGTGTGTGTGTGTGTGTGTGTGTGTGTGTGTGTGTGTGTGTGTGTGTGTTGACGGCCTTGGGCCTTCTGGTAAGTTAGACGCTTCTGTTTTTTAGATATACCAGATTACTTTGCAGTTATGTGGAAATGAGTCTTAAAAGTCTTAGCAGCAGTACTCTAAGAGACCCATTCTATCAAACACTCCCTCCTCAAGGGATTCAATCACAACACCTACCTTTTCCCATACCCTCAATAATATGAAACAGATACTTCTTTATCTATAGTTTTCATACTCAAATCTCTTTGAGGAGTAACAGATCCTTTACTCATTCTTAAGACAGCTTCCTACGAGCTTATTTTGGAAACACTCACCTGTATATGTGGTGAATGCTGGATGACTTGCTGGTACTGCTGCAGGATCTGCTGTAACTGAGTATGCTTCTGCATTATTCCCTGATACTGAAAGCCAACTCGATGTTGCTGGTGCTGTTGCCAGTGTGCTGCTGCAGCCTGCAACTGTTTTAACCTAGCATCCTCTTCTGGGTCTTCAGACTAAAGGTAAGAGAAGACACAAATTTTTCTAAGTCATAAAATAGCACCCAAATCAATCAAGTCCATAATCCCAATGACCCAGGCCGACTACAAAAAGTTATCCTATATTTAGACAAAATACAAAGCCCTATCTACAGTTACTATGGATGACAGGAAAAAGGAGTTTAAATGCCACAATCTTCACTAGAATAATAATTTCATTCTCTTAAACAGGATAACCATTTCCCCAGCAGGGAGTGAATCTACAATTATAGTACTTTCCAACATATGAGAGAGAAACCCCTCCTTCCTTCCCTCTCCCCTTTCTCTTCCTGTCACACTTCACCAGAGAACTACAATATAACTGTAGTTCAACAAAGTTGTGAGAACAACATTTGGACTAATGTGGGAACTCTCCACACCACAAGACACTATGCTTTATGAGACAAAGATGGTCATTTTTAATGCTTCAACAACTTTAAGACAGCTACTACCTGAATATATCCATTCTGCAGATGAGTAAATCAGTACAGAATGATTAGCCAGCCTGTCCAGAGTCACCACTGTTAAGTGGCAGTGTTTGGGCAGTTGACTCTAAAAGCTAAAGATCTAAACTATTGCCCTATACCGTAATCATGAATACACCTGGGCATCTTTCTTTTGTGCTGAGATACTCCATTCAAAAGAGTATCTAATTCTTCACTTACAGTCAACCTCCCCAAAATCTCTGCTAACCCTAATGAGCTGACATCTGATTACTTCAAAAGTGGAATTTTACAGGTACCTGAACACATGAAAATATGTCCACTTATGACAAGTGTTCATAAACAAACCAGACAAAACTCAGATGACTGAATAAACACTACACAATCACCTGGGGTTCCTCAGGTGGGAGTGGCGGTGGTGCCTCTTCATTTGGAGGTGGTAATGGGGGCTCTTCGGCTGAAAGAGGCTCTGACGTTTGACTGGCAGCAGGCACTGGAACGTCTTCTTTTATGGTTTCTGGTGCATCCTTTGCTGTGACTGGACCCCTTTTGTGTCCTGGGAAATGTACTTTTGTCCTCTGCTGCAAACTAAGCAGATGCTGTCGATACCAATACTGTTGCTGTTCCTACAACACAAGCCATTTTTAAGAATTTTATTTTATTTATTCCATGTGTGTATTTGTGTGTGAGAATAAGCTTGCCACAGTGTGTGGAAGTCAGAGGACAACTTTCAGGAGATGATTCTCTCCTGCTATGTAGGTCCCAGGGGATACAACTGAGGTCATCAAGCTTGACAACAGAGCACCTTCCCTGCCGAGCCATCTCCCTGGCTCATTTTAAAGAATGTTCATCGATAATCCAGAGCTACATTCATACGTGTTCATGTATCTAATGGAAAAACAAACAAAGCTGGACTGAAGAAGGCAAGTTAACAAGATAGAGAAAATTTTACATCCTTCCCCAAAATTTGTAAATTTAAATGAAACCATACATCCTAGTTAAGCATGCTTCTGGTTTTTCCCCTTCGATACTAAGTACAGAGCCCACGGTTTTATGCAGGGCAGGCAAGTGTTCTACCACTAAGCAACAGACGCAGATCTCATCTTACTCTTTTAGACAGACTCCCAGTCAATTGTCCAGATTGGCTTTGAACTTCGTCTGTAGCTCCAGCAGCTCTGGCACTCATGATATTCCCAGCCCATCCCAGCCACAGTCTCCTGAGCAGCTGAGATTATAGGCCAGTACCCAGCTAACACATACTTAAAAACAACAACAAGAAAAAACATGTTTCTGGAGGCTTGAGCAATTACGAGGACCGGGTTCAGTTCCCAGAACCCACACGGCGGCTCACAACCGTCTCTAACTCCAGCTTCAGGGGATCTGACGCCCTGTTCTGACCTTCCTTCGCACCAGGCACACACATGGCACACATACATCCAGGCAAACGACTGATACAAATCAAATAAATAAATCTAAAACAATAAAAAACAAAGCAACGCCCCCCCCCCCAATCCTTCTGAGGCTGGGTATAGTGGCATACACCTTAAATCCCAGGGACCAGAGTTTGTGTCAGGCTGATGACTGGGAGTCTGGGGCTAGCTAGAACCAGAGTCAAGACCCTGTCTTGAAAAGAATGGGCATCTGTCAGTATGCACAGCTACTTATTTGTCATCTGCCTTTAGTTTGCTGGGATTTACTCACAGGAATCTTCTACTTAAATAAAAACCATGCCATTTTAGTCTTTACTTTTCTCCAAATACCTATTTCTTTTAAACACACTGTATCACCAGTCTATTTATGCTCAGATATATACTATACATGAAAATATGTTTTTTAAACTTTTTATTTATTTCAAAGTTTCTGATTTATTGTCCAAATTATACTGTAATTTAATTTTCTAGAAGAGACTATTTTGTCTTTTATTTTATTTACTTGTTTGTTTGTTTATTTTTTGGTTTTTCAAGATAGTTTCTAGGTGTAATAGCCCTAGCTGTCCTGGAACTTGCTTTGTAGACCAGGCTGGCCACGAACTCACAGAATCCACCTGCCTCTGCCTCCTGAGTGCTGGGATTAAAGATGTAGAACACCATACCCAGTTCATCTTTTATTTATTATTTTTTTTTGAGACAGGGTCTCTCATTGAACCTGAACCTTTTCCACTAGACTGGTTGGCCAGCTATCACCTGCCTCCACTGTCCATCACTAAAGTTACAGGCAAGAGCAAAAGCACCTGGCTTTTACATGGGTGCTGGGGTCTGAACTCGGGTCTTCGTGCTTCCCAGAAGGCTCTTTGCCCTCATCTCTAACTTCTTTAAAGTACAATGAGACCTTCGGCATAGAGAAAAAAGTTTGCTATGCAAAATGAAGACCTGAGTTTGGATTCCTAGAACCCACAAAAAAGGCAGGCATTGTGGTGCTGGTCTGTAACCTTAATGCTGGAAGGCAGAGACAGG